CTTCCCACTCAGGAAGAAAGTATTATGGTTGGTATGTATCATGGAAATTGAATGGGTTGAGTTGGATAGATCAGTTCATTATAACGAGTACACGCGTGACTGCATAACACCAGCAGTAACCTTTTAAGAAAGGGTCATGATGCCATAAATATAATCTCATGACACAAAACTAAGTGTGGAGTGAGATTAATACCTCAGTTTCAAAGTCTTTGGGTAAAGTAACAGTTTTAATCATGTGTAAGGCCCATTTGACACTTCAATGTTTTCTGACCACCTTTGTCATCATTCCTTCAGCAGGTAAGACTCGTTTACATGGATTTGTCTGCAGTCTGCGTTCAGGATAGGATCCGCTATAAACATAACAAGGGAGAAATAGCGGAAACTGACGCTGAGAATAAGCATTATACCTGAATGACGCTGAAGGATTTCAAACGATCGTTTGAAAATGGGTTTTGTCATCGCCTAAATCCCCCCTTCCATTCGAAAATAATTCCATATTGAGTGAAAATAATAGAGAGAACCGTGCGAATTTGGAGTAAGATGCTTTGGTGATCGACTCGATTATTTATAGAAAACCAGGTTACTATTTTCACCCCGACTCAAACAAAGCGATAACAAATCAGGATGGACACTGAATCATAGGGGAATGACTTCAAAATCAGCTGATCCTATTGCCTTTACACAATAACCTTAGCAGAAAAGCATGCGATCATGTCATTATTACATCCACAGAGTTCGTCTTGAACTAGCGAAGCCGCAAAAGATCTCTCGAAAAAATGTCCACATTCCTTACTATAGTGGTAAGAAAACCTACAACTCACAGGCAAGGAGAAGAGAGTTTTCGTTTGGGAACTGATGTGAAAACGGTAAATATGAACAACTTCACACTAATCTTCTTGTGGTCTCAATTTGAAAGCTTGACATTTCATCCAACATTTGAAATTGCATACACTTACGTAAATCTACGTGAATGATGCGAATATTTTTTTTGAAAGCATGTTACAAAAAATCTACTCATTGTTCAATGAAAATTAACACTGCCCTGACGTTACTTGAGATTCAATTTTTCATCCTTTTGACTGTTTTCTTCTTGACATATTTGTCTTATAAGCTATTCCGCTCTATTGCCAGCTTACAGACTAGGGCCTAAATGAACTTGTAGTCTAGAACTTAGGGATAATCGAAAATCCCAAATAATGAACCTTTGGTCATCAACAATATCTATGGAATAATTTCAGTGATTGCTCCATGGTACATCGAGTCACGTCAACATGAAGAAAAGGCGAAGTTATGATTTAAGATCCAGTCGTCACTGTTTTAGCCGGAAGCGTTACCCGCTAGAGATTTAGTAAGGTTCTGCATTTATAATTACTTCAACTGAGAGAACTTTTCATCTAAACCTCCAAGAAACTCTAATAGTGGAAACAATTGTAACCAAATGAAATTGTTCCCAGTGTGACGGTTTTGTCACCTATATTTTTGAGGGTAGCTATTTGTGAAGCTGGGTTTACCTTTAAAACAACTATATCATTTTCATTTGGTCAAGTTTGTGACGCAAATTATTATAACTTATAATAGTATGAAGAAAATACACTTGAGCTTGACATCGTTCTAGGTGATTTCGAGTCAACACCACTAAATATTAATAGCATTACAAATGCTATAAATGCTCTGAAAGAAAGACAACCAAAAAGAAGCTAAGGAGTAGTCTAGACAGAGTCGCAGCAGACAAATGCGAAGATTGCAAGGCAGATTTTTCTTTGGGAATTTTCTACTCAAAGATAGACGCTTATTTATGTTCTTTTCTACTGTATGCATCTATTTAGCAACGTTCAGCTTCTGGGGAGTGACTGGGACCAAGAGGTCAGCTAGCAACCAGGAATAGGAAGCGCATGTACACTTTTGGATGAACAACAGCACTGAGCTGGTTTGGCAAACGTTGAGCGATTTTCACTTTGTGGAGAGAGAATGAGATGTAGCGTTCACATATGGAGCGCCATTTGTGGGGCATGATCCTAGATCAAATATAGACTAGTAGCTAATAGTGTCGCAGACGTTTTCGTTAAAACCTTTAAGGTGCAGTCAAAAGAAATCTAGTAACGAACAGAAAATAAACGTCATTTGCGTGCGATTTAATGATTTCGCAGCTTCATTTACTAGTTATTGTTGTCTTTTCAGAGGCATATGTTCACTTTACTGTGACGCCTAGTGATCCTACCTATGTAAATAATGGAAGCACTGCCAAACTGGCGTGGGACTACAGTGACCCAAACAATGATCTCTATGGAATTGTCTTTAGTGTTCTGGTTAAGCGGGCAGGATTCAAACGCATGCTATATAAAGAAAATGGTATTGTCAAGGAACATCAAAGTTTACCTTCTGCTTACAAGGGCAGAGTCAGGATAGAAGGGAGAGCTATCTTGGTCATTGAAAAAATAACTCCTCAAGACAACACCAAATTTGTATGTCAATTAGTTGATGGCGCCGCTGATCCTGAGAGTCAGGTTCATCTGATTGTGGCAGGTATGAGTTGTTAAACACTAGTGATTATGAACGATTATTAAGAAAGAATGATTTTTTATGATTTAAATTTTTCTGGGTATGTTTTATGTGATCTAACTGTCTTTCAATCTTTGCTAGGACAATCAATATGCTTTTCAGCTAAGAAGTGCTAACTTACGGTATATATATCTTGTTAGACGTTTTGTTCTGCAGTATCGCTGAGTATTTTTACGAGTTGTGCCATAATTTGACGAGCCCGTAGGGCGAGTTAAAATATAAATAACGAGTAAAAATACTCAGCGATACTGCGATACTACACAACAAAACGTCTAATAA